TATGGAGCCCTAAGAGCAGCCATTGACTTAGACATAGAAAGAATTGAAAAATCTATTACCCATTACAGGAATCTCTCACTTCCTTGTCTGAAGTAGTGCTCCAGAACAGAAGAGGACTAGACTTGCTATTCATGCAACAGGGGGGCTTATGTGCAGCTTTGGGAGAGGAATGTTGCTTTTATGTGGACCATTCAGGTGTGGTTAAAGAGTCTATGGTTCTCATAAGGGAAGGATTGCAGAAGCGAAAGCTAGAGAGTGGTCTCAGTCTTGATATGAATCCCTGTTTAGTTGGTCCCCATGGTTAACCACTCTTATTTCCACCCTCGTCGGACCCCTTGTAACCCTCCTGATGTTGCTAACTTTTGGCCCTTGTATCACCAATAAACTAGTCCAATTTGTCAAGGAACGCATAAGGGTGGTTCAGTTAATGGTCTTACAAGTCCAATACTGGCCTCTAGCGATGGAAGACGAGATGGAAATGCAGTCCGTCTCATGATTGAGCTGTGAGTTCCAAGACAAGGGGGGACTGAAAGGACAAAGCAGAAACAGACTCTCCTCCCGCTCCTCTATCTTGTCTTGTAGGGCTGGGCCCTCAGCCCAAACCCCCTCCCTTTTCTAACTCCCCCAACCACCACTTGAGTGGACCAGTGAAGCTTCAGGAACACAGCCAAGGTCTTAATAAGGTTATACCACAGGATACTCCCTTTGCATGGCTGATGACCAATCAGGAAATGGTGGGGGATGGCTCAAACTTTAGAATGTGTTGGTCACTTCCTAACTTTTGTACTGTAAGACCCTGCTAAAAAAAAACTAAAAAAAACCCTGACCTAAATGACCAATCTCTGTAACCTACGTCACTTACCTAAGCACACCCAAATGACTAGCCCTATATAACCTTTGTTCGCCTGGGGCTCGCTCTCGCTCGTCTCATGGCTAAGTCAGAAAGAGGCTGGGGGCCAAACCCGGGTTTGAATAAAGACTCTTTGCTTTTGCATCAGAAAAGGCTCCCTGGTGGTTGGTTATTGAGGACCCCGAACTCTGGGCATAACAGGCTCGGAACCTGGTCTCAGAAAACAATCTCCCCAAGGTTGCGCACCTAGGCTCAAATACAGCACCCTCTCCCCGCCTGGGTGCAGAGCCTGGGCGAGGGCAACAAACTCCCCGGGTTCGAATGTCCAGGTTCAAATTCAGTGCAGCCTCTCTGCTAGGGTGCAAGGTCTGGTTGTGGGAAACAAACTCCCCAGGTCTGCACCCCCAGGACCAAATTCAGCGCTGTCTCCCCGAGTGGGCACAGGACCCGGTCGCAGAAAACAGTGTCCTCAACAATGCGCACCCAGGCCCAAACTCAGCAGTCTCCCAGCTTGGGTGCATAGCCTAGTCGTGGGAAATAGATTCCCCAAGTTCACGCAAATCCAGACTCAAACAGCGCTGTCTCCCTGACCTGTGCGGGCACAGGATCTGGTCCCAGGAAACAGTCTCACCAAGGATGCGCACCCAAGCTAAAATTCAGCACAGTCTGCCCGCGGAGTCTGGTCGTGGGAAATAAACTTCCCGCATCCGACACCAAGGCTAAAAGTCAGGCAGAGCTGCTGCTGCTGCTGCTGTGTGCAGACAGCCCCACTGTGCAGCCGGGGTCTGGCAGTTCCTATGCCGCTGCCCCGTGGGGGGGGGGGCGGCTGGGGAGGAGGATTGGCTTTGTGACTCACAGAAATCTGTGGCCGGGGTGCCTGGAGTCTTGGTGTCCCTGGGTTTGCAGCTGTAGTCTCAGGTCTTCTACCAGAGCAGCTGTGGGGTTCCGGTTTGCTACCAAGACCAGGCTGGGTTGTTGCGAGGCTAGGATCCCAGCCTCAAGCAGTTCCGTTCTTCAAGATGGCGTGGTCTCCGCGCCGCTGGTGTCCTCCCTGGAGTGTTTGCGGCGGCAGCGGGGTTTTGCGGTCTAAGACTGCCCGGATTGGCAGCCCCTTGAAAGACCTGCAGGACCTAACTGTCCCTATTTCACTCGCGCATACACACACATACACGTCCACACACTCCTCTATGGCTCCCTCACTCTCTCACACACTCTCCCTCCCTGCCTTCCTGCCGATTGCCATCTTTCCTCTCCCCGAGAAATGTTATTTCTATTTGCAGGGTATCAGCTTTAATTAAAAAGAAAATGAGAAGCAAACTACTTGGTCATAAAATCAATGTTTCCTGAGGTATGATGTCTTTAATAACTTTTTTTTTGTTTGCTGATACAATTTGGTATGGGATACAAAATATTTATGACAGAGCGTTTTTAGTCATATTGACACTGGGTTAATGTATCAAGAGTTCTGTAAACATTAAAACCTTATGACCACAGAATTCTACTTCTGAGGATCAATACTGATCAAATACTAAACATTCCGTACTGAATTACAATAAAATACTAAATAATCCTCACATTCTGCTGGTTATCTTGCTGCTTATTTCACCAAGGAATTAGAAGCAATTGAAAGAAAACAGTTCTTCTCTTCACCACATTATCCAACCAATTTATGTGCATATCCTTACCATAGGCATAATTTTCCTTCATAAATTGGCTCCTACTCTTTTCCATCTACTAAAGGTCATTGCTTACAAAACAATCCTCTTTTTATACTCCTTTAATTTTCCATTCTTTGAAATCATTGCCTTCAGCCTATAAATGTGTTCTAATATTACACACCTTAAAAAAATGCATTTCCTGTATCCCATGCATGCTTTTATGGCAAAGTTCTCCAAGTTGTGTATACTTATTTTTACTACTGCCATACCTTTCATTTCCCTTTTCTTTTATCTTCCAATAACTTTTTAAAAAAATATATTTTATTGATTTTTTACAGAGAGGAAGTGAGAGAAATAGAGAGTTGGAAACATCAATGAGTGAGAAACATCTATCAGCTGCCTCCTGCACACCCCCCACCGGGGATACGCCCGCAACCAAGGTACATGCCCTTGACCTGAATCAACCCCGGGACCCCTCAGTCTGCAGGCCGACGCTCCATTCACTGAGCCAAACCGGTCAGGGCCTTCCAATAACTTTAAAAGAAAACTTTATTACAAGAGCATTATTAACATACACAAAAAGGAATAATAAACATCCATGTATCTATGACCCAGCCTCATCAACCCAAGCCCAATCCTAGCCTATTCTGTTCACATTATTTTTTATTTATTTTTTTTTATTTTTTTTATTTATTAAGTTTTTACATATGTGTCCTTATTCCCCTATCCCCCCCCCCCCATCCTCTCCACTCATGCCCTCACCCTCTTGTTGTCTGTGTCCATTGGTTAGGCTATATGCTTGTATAAAAGTCCTTTGGTTGATCTCTCTCCCTTAGCCCCACTCCCTCTGAGGTTTGACAGTCCGATGCTTCTCTGTCTCTGGATCTGTTTTGTTCATCAGTTTATGTTGTTCATTATATTCTACAAATGAGTGAGACCATGTGATATTTATTTTTCTCTGACTGGCTTATTTCACTTAGCATAATGCTCTCCAATTCCATCCTTGCTGTTGCAAATGGTAAGAACAAATTCCATATATTAAAAGTATTTTTTGTACTTCTTTCAGAATTTATTTCTGAAAGTATTTTTAAAAACATAATCATAATATCACTATCCAAAACTAAATAATGAACAATTCTTAATATCATCAGAAATCAGCCAAGCTAGCATGGCTCAGTGGTTGAGCATTGACCTAGGAACCAGGAGGCCCGGGTTGCGGACTTGATCCCCAGTGTGGGGTCCGCAGGAGGCAGCCAACTGGTGATTCCCTCTCATCTCTGATGTTTCTATCTCTCCATCTCTCTCCCTCTCTGAAACCAATTTTTAAAAAATCATACTTTCAACTATCTCTAAAATCATAATTGATCCAAATCTCATAAAGTACAACTGGTTAATATGTTGTTTACATCCTTTTTAATATATAGGTTCTCCTGCTATCTTTTGATTTCTTTTACAATTTATTTGTTGAAGAAACTGTTTTTGGCTCTGTAGTTTTTTCCATATTCTGAATTTTGCTGATTATATCTTCCAATTAATTGATAATTGGCTTTAGAAATTTGATCAGACATAGTATCAATTTTGTTGGCAAAGTTATTTCCTAGGTAATATTGTGTCCATACATTAGAAGAAATATAATGTCTGTTTGTCTTTATTTTTGTGATCTGATCAGCATTAATGTTCAATGCCTAGATCCAATAGTTCATTATAGGTTCCAAAATGGAAATATTCAATCATTCTTCATTTATTCACTGAACATTTTATTAATAAAAACATTCTTTACTATAAGAACAGTTCTTATAGTAAGAAAGACAAGAGAAATGCTTCTTTTTCTTAAATTTTCTATCTTCCAAATAAGTTAAATCTCTAGTAGTTCCCAGTAATGAACAATTTGCTGTTATTATCATTAAGAATTTATGGGATTAAACATATTAAAGCATATTTTGTTGTAACACATTGCAGTTATGTGTATAGATGCTCAAATGATCCCATCTTTGATAAGTTGGAGCCTCCTCCAATTGGTTCCCCTTCCCTAATTACCCTATCCAATATTACCCCATTCTCCCATCATAATTCTTACTCTATTAATTGTTCATAATACTTAATCACTTCATGATATCTGGTAAGGCATTTGCTTGTGTTTATTGCTTGACTTTCCTAGTATAAAGCTATGAAAAAAGGACAATGAAGAATTAAATAGGCTAAATACAAAAGATGAACTAAAAAGGATATGATCCAAAATACAGGTAAAATGGTTGTCATTTGGGAATAAAACTTTCCCTCATTGAAATTAGAGGGAAATATGAGTGAAGAAATAAGTGGTAATGGAAGTATAGGTATAATTTCTTTGGTGAATCATGCTGCAATCTGAGTTTTCTTCCCAGGTTTCAGGTCTTTTCTTCATAATCAACACCTCAGGGATGTGTTTCCTTCCCAACCAGCAGCACTATACCATGCCATAATTGCTTACCTCTGCCTGATTAGCACTTACTCACCCAGACTCCATCTTTTTTTCTCATCCCTCACAACCATCCAAGGTTCTTTCCCTTGCTCTAATAGGGTAATTACATCTGGCTTAGAAATGGAACATCCTGCATTGGAAAAAAAAGAAAAGAAAAATAAAGGAACATAATAAAGAAAGTATTTACTTTATCAAGCTTCAGAACTATAATGAATAATGGGATTAAAAATTACTTATATTTGAGTTATTTCAGGATCATAAGGACAGAGAGGTAGAAACATCATTTTATTTTCATTTAAACCATACAGGCTATCTCTTAAGAGGAAGTTAATGATTGAGAGCATTAGTTTCAAATCCTACTATCACCTGAATAGCCAGGGCCTCAGTGTTCTCAGTTGTTAAAAGGGAATAATAACAATGTTGACCCATAATATTCTTGTGAGGTTTAATAAACATAAAGCACTTTGATGAATCCCTAGTACTGAGTAGGTGTGCCATGCCAGCACGGCCAAGGGTGAACCTGAGGGGGCATGGTGAAGCATCAAAGAAAACAAAGAAAATACAGCTGGGGCTCTGCGGATCTCCCATGCCTGAATGAGGACACAGACAGATCCAGCCTGCAAGCCAAGGCTTTATTTTATAGTCAGATTAAAACAAGGGTAGTGGTCAACATGTTTACAATGTTCTTGTGAGTTTCACCTTGTTTTGGCAGCACTTGCTGCCCCTCCCACACCCATTAGCTACCTAGGAAGGAACTAGGGAGGGCTATAATGTTAAGCTTAATTATGCTAAGAGGGCTCTGCCCTCCAAGCTGGGACTTGTTTGTGGCCCTGCCACAGGTCATTCCAAGGCTTGACCCTATAGCTGCTCCCTACAAGTAGGCATTAAATGTATTTATTAGGTACTATTTTTGCTATTTTGCTAAGAAGAAAATAATTAATTTCTTGCCAGGATATTCATTCAATGGTAAATGAAAAATTCATGCATTTTAAAGTATTAATCATAAATTAAAGATACATCCATTGTAGTAAATTGCAAAAGTTCACTTGAGTTTTAACAGTTGATTCAATCCACCATCATATATAAGCTTTTCCAATAGGTATATAGAGTTAGACACCGTTGTCTTCCTACTCACACTGCAAGTTAGCAGATTAATAGACTAGGTACAGCCCTGGCCAGTGTGGCTCAGTTGGTTGGAGCATCATCCCATACACCAAAAGGTGGTGGGTTTGATTTCAGGTCTGGGCACATACCTAGGTTGTATGAACTGGAGGCAATCAATGTTTCTCTTTCACATCATCAATGTTTCTCTCTCTCCTCTCTCTCTCTCTCTCTCTTTCTCTCCTCCTTACTCTCTCTAAAATCAGTAAGAGATAATAATAATAAGACTAGCTACAGCAGTATTGAAACCAGATTTCTTTAACAATGGTCTTGATATGGAGGGACTTATAATCTGATAGAGCACCTGAATTAATGTGAAAGATAAACATATCAATTTGAAATCCTAGAATACATATACATATAGGAATAGAGAGTTAAGTTTCTTATGGAATAGAGCAGTGGTTCTCAACCTTGTTATGCTGTGGACCCACCCCATAACAAAGAAACAGAATTTCCAGAGGATGAGGCCCAGAAATCAGGATTTTAAAAAGATTTCCAGGTGATTCTAATGTGCAGTCAAGGTTGAGAACCATTGGAATAGAGGGTTAAGTTTTTTCTTTTTCTTTTCTAAGTTTCATTTCTCAGGCCGATGCACCTGCTTACTGCCTTTGATCCCAAACAAAGTGATTGAGGAGGTGATTCAGCTGTGAACAATATATACTATACCAGCAAGCAAGCAGAACTGTTAAGCATGATCAGGCTGACCCCACCAGGAGCCAAGACATCATTTCATTGCTTGACAACCAAGAACAACAGTTGAATTCTGCTGACCGCCAGGACTGAATGCAATTGCATTCTGTTCCCAACCTCAGCCCAATCCATTTTTCTTATATAATCCTGTTCCCCCTGCTCCTTGCTGTGAGACAGGTTTTGGATGCCTGTAAGCTCCCGGCTTCTTGCTTGACTGGCCTTCTTAATAAACGCCTTATGATTTAACCCTGCCTTTGTTATTGGACATTGCATCAGGCAGCCCGAGCCAACCTGGGGGGTTCCCAGTAACAGTTTTACTGTGTCTAAGACTTTACAATTAGCAGTCTTTAAAGATAGGCAATTACACAAAAGGCAAAGAAAGATATAAAGATCATTAAATTATGGGGAAATTGACAGTGCTATTTAACAGCTTAATAGTAAAGGTGCTTATTTCAAAACCACAAAGATATTCAGCCAATTTTTAAAAAGACAGCCCTGAAATCCAGTCCTGTTAAGTTCTAAATTATCTGATACAGATAAACTTACCCACTGACACCAAGTTGCTATAGTTCTCTAATATCACATCTCTGTACAAATTCCTCTGATATGAGTTCAGGCATTTCCACTCTTCCTGAGAAAAGTCTACAGCCACATCTCTGAATATCACCAAATCCTGAAATGACAAATTCATATATTATTTGTAAAATTATTTCTGAGGCCAATACTTTAGGGTTTGCATGCCACATGTGGTCTCTGTTGTATTTCCTCCCATTTTCCCTTCATTTAAAAAATTATTTCAAAATGTAATTAGCTCAATCTGGTTCACAAGCTATAATTTTCCCACCAATGCAATAGACAAAACTGCCTCTGTACTGTGGGATATCTACTTTTTTATCTGTTCAGGTAATTATCAGAATTTCCCAATTAATTAAAATAATGTTCATAAGAACATTGCTTACAATGGGCCTAAAAATTCTCAATAAGTGTGATTTACTCTAACCTCTATTCCTTTATGGATTTGAGAAAAAATTTGATAGAATTCTTTTCCCCAAATGAACCATAAAATATCTATTTTTAAAAAGTAGAGTTTACATAAACAAATTTCTTCCAGACCTAACTTCATCATTATGTTCTATTATTAGCATTTTTCCTAATTATAACATCCTTTATTGAATATTTTTAATATACAATATTCCATTTTATATATATCTTAGACTTAGTAAATACACAAAATCTCTAACACTGCAATGTCCAGTACAGTGGGGCCTTGACTTACGAGTGTCCCGACTAACGAGTTTTTTGAGATACCAGCTGTCTCTCAGCTGATTTTTTTGCATTGAGTTGATAGAGTAATTTGAGTTAACGAGCTCCTTAACAAGCTCCTTAATGAGCTTGGTCTCCTAAGTCAAGGCCCCACTGTATGCTAGCTCAGACACATATGGTTATTGAGCACTTGAATTGTGGCTAGTCCAGATTTAGATGTGCTGTAAGTATAAAAGGCATACCAGACACTGATGACTTTCACATGAAAAAAGAATTGTAAAATACCTCAATAATTTTATGTTGATTACACTTTGAAATGATGCTATTTTGGCTATGTTGGGTTAAATAAAACATTAAAATTAACTGCACATTCCTTTTACTCTTTTTAAATGTGACTACTAAAAAGTTTATTATGTAAATACCTTGCATATTACTCTATACTGTTAGAGACTGATATGCTATGCTGCCTACTGCATGAAGAAGGCACTATCATTCTATAGAGCATTCAATGTGTGACTACTAGAAAATTTAAAATCACATATGTGGCTCACATTATAATTTTTTAGGGCATTGCTACTCTAAAGTGTTCTCTAGTCCTAAGAGTCTCAGATCAAATATCTCCCTCTAGAAACCTCATTTCTGCTTTACCTCTGCTCTAGACAAGACCAAACACACAGGAGATACTGAATAATTTGGTCACTTCACACATGGACATTGATGAAGAAGAGAGGGGCACACAAGAGGAGCCTGGACTGCTGGGCTCCATCCCTCACTAGATTGGAAGAGACTGGGGAGAAGCTGTTGAATGGGCTCTGTTAGAAAGTTTCAGATAATTAATGAAAATGTTTACATAACCTGAAAAAAATTACATTTCATAAAGAGAGAAACACAAACTTACATGAGCCATGATTTTAGAGTTGCAAGAACTGGTCAGATTTCCTCATGGGTAATTCACTGGGGAATCAGAGTCCACAAAAGCCAGAGCTGGGAAAAGAATTGCCTCAGAGTTCCAAATTTTAAAAACCCATAGTTCTCCATGCAAATCTTTCACCCGCCAAAACTCAAATAAGTTATGAGAGGTAAGAGATAGTTTAGACAAAATATGCTCTCCACAAAACCACAGGGAAATCAATTACATGAGGATCAGTGAGGAACAGAGACTCTCCTGCATGGAAGCACATATCCAGACACTTTTAGCAGGAGGGCTTCCAGTTAGTCCTCCACTAAGGGGAGGCTGATCTGAACCTAAGAATGGGCTGTCCTACCTGCCCTGAGCATATCTATCTCCTCCCATTCCTGACTATACCATCTAAACCAAATCTTCCTTTTAAAACTTGGGTTTGAATGTTTCTTCCTTGACAATGGAATGAGATAATGCTTCAGAGAATAGCAGTTTTGCATCTTATTTTATACATTACAATCTTAAGAGATGACACAAATGGGTTACATAAAATCCAGTGGTGATAGATTAGGGAGGTGGGAGAGAGCAAAGGGGTGGGAGGGTGGAGGGAAACATCTGGGATTGGATGAAAAGTCAAATGAGAAACACATACATCTTTTACATAAGTAGGTATAAGATAGTAAACAGTCAACAATCCTATCTAATAAAAGAGAAACATGGTAATTAGCTTATGACTGCTACCCTTCCCATTGGCTAATCAGGGCGATATGCAAATTAACTGCCAGCCAAGATGGCAGCCGGCAGCCAGGCAGCTGACTCGTACAGGGAGGCTTGCTTGCTTCAGTGACGGAGGGAACCAAGCTTCCCCGCCTGCCTTGCCGGCCTCTCAGCTGCACTCTAAGCAACGTTGTAACAAATATAGAAGCTAACCAAAACCCCAGGCTTCAGCCAGCAGGATCGCAACATTATAAGCAAAGGCCAGAAACCTGCTTTCAGCAGTGGAGGTCTCATAGCTGGAGCCAAGCCTCAGAGCTAAAGCTCGCTCAGAATTAAAAAAAAGGAAAAAGGACAGGTTGGGAGCTTCAGTCACCCGCCAGCCTGAAAATGGCCCTAAGCCCCTCACCCAGGCTGGCCAGGCACCCAGTGGGGACCCTCATCCTGATCCAGGACACCCTTCAGGGCAAACCAGCTGGCCCTCACCTGTGCACACGGCCTCTATCCTATATAGTAAAAGGGTAATATGCCTCCCAGCCGCGGGATCAGCGGAGCCACGAGGCCTCCCAGCACTGGGATCAGCGTGACAAGGGGCAGCGCCCAAACCCCCTGATCATCCTGTGGTTCTGTGTGTAACAGGGGATGTGGCCACAACCTCACTATCCGCCCTGCTCTGTTCCTGACAGGGGGCTGCTCCTCAACCCCTTGATCAGCCCTGCTCTGTGCATGACAGGGGGGAGCTCCCCAACCCCCTGATCACCCTGCAGCTCTGTGTGTGACAGGGTGCAGCACCCCAACCCCCCCGCCCCATTGGCCCTGTCCGGAGTGTGACAGTGGCAGCACCTCAACCCCCTGATCCGCCCTGCTCTGTGTGTGACATGGGGCGGTGCCCCAACGCCCCTATCGGCCCTGCTCTGTGAGTGACAGGGAGGAGCTCCTAAACCCACAGATCGGCCCTGCTCTGTGTGTGATAGGGGGTGGCGCCACAACCTCCCTATCGACCCTGCCTTGAGTGTGACAGGGGGCGGTGCCCCAACTC